CAATGCTAAAAGCATGTTAATAACATTTCTTTGGATTATTTGCAGAATACATGGCACTGTTTAGTAAAAGAACCGAATAAAATGGTGTGGTGATCTAAACAGGGAAGTTAAAGAATCTCTACAATCCTGGGTCTATAAATTGATGGGTCAGCTAAGGTCTCCATCATTAGGTATAGATCAGTGCAGATGGTAAAGGGCAAAGGTCTTTTGAAGCAAGCTGGAAAGTTCTATTTTGCATATTTATTAAAGTGATGATTAGGGCTATGGCTAGCCCTTTTTTTATGCTGCCTAGATCCTTTTCTAAGGTGATTTTTGTGGGGTAGACTGTGATGTTTTCTGTGCTGCCTCATACAAAGGTGTACACACACTTTAGCAGCTTTCATAAAATATTGAAGCTTACACTAAAAAAGCATGGAAGAAAGAAGCAGTAAATCAAATATTAGCTCAAACATCCCATATTGCTTCTCTCAAGAGTTGTGGCACATCCTCCCTATACAAATGACATGAAATAGGATTTTGAAAGCGGAAAAGAAAAATACCTGAGTGGTTACTGTGCCCTTATATTCCATACTCATAAAAATCCATTCAGATCAGCCTAAACACTATAAACTCTACTTTGTTTTCAGGAAAACCTGAGCATAGTCATATTATGAAGCTTTCCAACATCCTGTTTCTCATCATGCTTCTCAGAGTTCCCACCACTGGTACACTCCACAGCATAATCACAGAGAATTTCACATTCTGACACAGCCTCTTCCAATCATGGGTATAAACACTTGATAATAATTATGCCTCTGCTTTCAGAAAAGCTAACAGGTATTAATAGAGATTCTTCAGCCATCTGAAGAATGCAAAAGATCTTCATTAGCATCTGAATAACTAGAAAGGTGGTCAAAGTTTTAACCAAAGAACACAAAATCATCACCTGCATTTAGAACTCAGAATAGTTACAAATTAAACTACCAAACATGTTGCAAAATTATGCTGTCATTTTAAATTACATAATCTGATGGTTTTACTATTTTAGCTTCAGCAGACTGATCATCAGCCTTTATTTCTGTGGTTTAGTACAGATGGCTACTTTGGAAGTCTTTGGTTTCTGGATTTAATTCTGAACAAAATAAAAAATAAGGACCAAGAGCATCCCAGCCTTCAAATATAATACATCTATTACTATGCTAAGTATCTACAAAATTAGACTGAATTTGGAGTTTACCCTTTGGGCTTTGTTGACCAAATACAGATTTAGATGCTTTAAATGTCTCTTTCACAGTCTAAGGCATCAGATTTTAAACAAGCCTGTCAAATTAAATATCACAGATGTGTTCAGAAATGCACAAGTAATTTAATCATATTTGTGTTAAAAAGTTACAAATTCTGCCCAGAAATGTTTTTTCGGTGTAAGGAAAATGGAAACAGAACAAGCCATCATCCTGTTCTTTAAAGGAAAGTGTGTCACAGAATACTGACTATAATAATAACTCAAAAGCAGAGGGGTGTCATGTTCTGTTTATAAAGAGTAAGTACATCACAGTAGATTCACTCTTGGAAGACTTGAAAAACCTCACATGGTTCTGTAAGATAAAAATGAATTTAAAAATCTGTGCTCCTTGTCTTCTACTGAAGTTGATTTCTGAAACAGTCTGAACTGCACCATTTTTTTATCTTTGTTTTCTCCTACAGTAGATTTGCCACATCCTTTCACTGTTTGGCTCTCCACTGTCCGGGTCTATGAGCTCTTCAATTTGGTCACTTATCTTCAGTAGGGTTTGCTAGTTTTTGTGGGCTTCATTTCCATCAATCATGTTATTAAAAAGAAGCTTCATAATAAAGCACAGAAAAAATTGATATTTCAAATCCCTTTTCTATTTGAATTTCACTCTGAAAGTTAACAAAAATTCTAATCAAACTTTTGTGTGCTCTTAACATGACAGTTTTATGCCAGAGGTTGCAAAAAAGGACTTCAATATCTATTTTCCTGCCTTTCATGGCCCTTTAGAAATGGAACAGTCTCCACTGTCTTCTAACTTCCATCCACTTTAAAAGGTTTAGAATGCCTGGGCATCACTACGCCACCACTTCTCATTCTGGAATAATCAATCTAGAATTAATTACTGCTGTATGTGTCCTGACTGCCTTTGTTCTGGCATGGATCCACCTTTCCAATGTTTTGCTGATGGCTTTCTGGGCAGTTACTTGAGTCAGCTAGATTAATTTTTGGAATTCTGAAGAATGTTCTCTGTATTTCATACATCTGAAGAGCACAGGATCACGTGCAATTGCCAGTAATTTTTGGCACGTTGATAACTGGTTGGTCTGACTCATCCTACAGATGAGAATAAAGCTTCTCACTGAGGCTCCTGGGCAGACAAGGGCTCACTTCCACTTCTCCTGAATGAATACATGGGGATGTGAACAGGCACACATCTCCTCAACAATCTTCACAAGATCTAAACCTACGAAACATATTAATTTGAAAAATATGAAAACCCTGCATCTCAAAGCAGGTTTGTGAAAACCCTGTATCACAAAGCTCCTCCTTCACCCAAGGTGAATGATTAACAGGGTTAAACAGGGTTTAATCATTAAGGATACTATCAAGCTCTACTGCTGTCACATAACAAAATTTGTATTAAAATACTTTTGCTTCTTATCTTTCAGAATTTACTTTTGGGTTCGAAATATACAGCAAAAGCTTTACACACACTTTTAAAAACTTTTCAATAAAAAATTCTATATTTTTTCAAGGAATAATATTTTATTTTTTACAATTATAGATTATAATATCCTGAGAGAGGAAATTGCAACATTTTTCTATCAATACAATTGTACCATATTCAGATATTTAGCTTTCACAAAACTTCTTGGTCTAATAACACCTAAAATCAATAGCAAATCCTCTGGAATACATTAATAGTTGGTATCATGTTAAATAAACCATGATATATAAATTATGTGAGAACCACTCCCTAAGAAAATCTGTAAAGGGATAATCCTAGATTCACACTTCTTAAAGCAATTTCTAAAACAATGGTAAAACACTCTGTTCTAAAGTATGCCTTTGAAATGTCACCCTTGCTTTTTAGCTGTGCTCCAAGTGTACTGAAAAGTGTAATCTATATTGTTAGTGAGGCAAATGTAGAAGAGGACCTGTTCCAAACATATATCTGAAATTATGTTGCTATACACACAACAAACTATTTTCTTCTGAGTTTAAGGGCAGTAACAACAACCGACCATGATTTTGCATTCGTGTGCTAGACAATTAAATTCATCACTGCCTAATACTTAACTCAGGTTAAGTAATAAACTCATGGGGTTTACTTAACACCATGAGCTAAGTAGCGCTTTGCAGAATTGCAATGTCAAAAAAAAATAATAATAAACACTATTACCTACTCATGTATGTTCAAGGAACACAGGTGATGAAAATACATGTTTTTTTCTGACCATTTTAAGATCTGATTTCTTCTTGCACTAAGAGAGATATGGACTGATTCCATATTCTGATTTAATATATTGATTCAGTCAATAACTCTGAGGAAGGTATTTGAATAAAAAGGCCCACATCTTTTATTATGAACAGATAGGAAATGGGTCAACCGATCTTGTAACTTCATTTTTGTAATAAAAAAAGATTCAGAATCACTGCACAGGAACTGGAAATTAATCATAAGTACAAGGTAAGTAAACTCAATCTTTCTACAGCATAAGTTATTAATTCCTGATAGCAGTGATTTACAAAAGAGGGATTTCAGGAAACCCTGCCAATTTTCTTCCCTATCCATGCTTAACTATTTTAACCCTGTAATTATAACAATTTCTATTTTGAGATTTGTTTAACATGAAACCCACAGCAAATAACATCTGCAAGATTCTGTGAAAATAATCTGTGACTCAATTTAGGACAAGACCAGTACAAAAGGTGAAACTGAGCTCTGAAGGAGCCAGTCAGAGTAAAGACAAAAATGCTTCACTAAATATCACCTAAGTTAAATGGACCAGTAAGTGCACCCCAAAACTTCTCCAGATTTGCTGACCTAAATGGCATCCAAGTGGCTTCTCTAATTTGTTGGAATAATAGCAGAGTCACAGGAAACTAATTAAAGCTTTTACACAGTAATTGTAAAATTAAAATTTTATAGCTGAATTTAATTGACTTCAATATGGGGAATTTTGCTGTTCTACATACCACTACTGAACAAACAGGGAAGTGTGAACTCCATTTTCAGAGCTAGGACACCTTGATAGGTGTTAGTTCTCTGCCAGTAATATAAAGTACATGGAAAATTCAATAAAATGGCAGATTAAAATTTGTTATGAAAGAAACCGTAAGTAATGTACAGTATGAAATAAAAGCCTCATAAACAATGCAGCTAAGTGAGAACTTCAATTTTTGACTTCTTGCTCCCATACTATCATAACATTTTGATTTATACTTTTTGGCATGGGAAAATAGCTTTTGTTCACTAAAAACCCTACTTCTAATTGAAACAGGTTTTATTCAAAAAAATAAATTTGAAATTTCAGTGCATGAAATTTAACTTACTGGAATTATTCCATTTTGAAATGATATCCTCCCAGAGTCAAAAAGAACTAATTATATAAGTTTCTGCAGTTTTTGTAGCAGTGTTCAAATGCATAGATAAACCAAATTACAGATTGTTTTCACGTGTTAGCTGGAACTTTAAAGGGTAATTTTCAGATTTGAGATGAGAAATAAGAACTGATATGATAGAAATCAAATCAGTTAAAATTCTTAAGGTATATATATATTATTTGTCATCAGTTACCTTTCATCACTTTTTATAGAGTACCTAGTTAATAGGTAAGAAAAATTACGTGAGTGCCTTAAACTAAAATTTTTTCACCTTGACAATGTTTTGCCAGTATACTGAGGGGGAAGAGAGGGAAAAGTATGTGAGGCGAGCTGTGATAAAATCTATAGAAAAGGTAAAATGAAAAAAATAACACAGAGAAAAGCAGTAGAAGAGACAGACCTGAGTTTGTTCTCCTTGATGATTCCGCTTCTTCTGTGATCACATCGTGTAATGTACAGACATAGACAAAGGAGATGGGCGTGAGAGGATGTATTCAGAAGGTTAAAACTGACACTGAGGGAAAGGGCCAAAAATTGTTTTAGAGAGAAGTCTGCAGAGCAGAGTTAGTAAGTGGAGAAAAAAATAAAAGACACTAGAAGAAAAAAGAAAGCTGAGAAAGAAGTGGTTAAACTACTGTTGTTGGAAAAGAACAGTAAAGACAGGGTTAGTATAGGAGCTGAGGAAATAATAAAAGTTATAACTGACAGCAAAGTCAATCCTTGCAATGATGCTGAAGAAAAAGCTGGATAGTAAAAGGTATGTTAACTAGCATAAATACTTCTGCTCATGACTGTTCAATTTTTTGAATGTTCTCTACTTGAATGCAAATATTATTTTTCTCTTTCAAGTATTGAACACTCAGTTTAATGTCCAAGGGACCTCTATTATTATATTTTTCAATTATCAATTTATTGTAATTTATGCTGAACCAAACTTCAGATACCCGAACCAGAAAATAATTTTTTTTTTTTTTTTTTTTTGCAAATGTATGTACAAGCTCAGACATTTCAGAATCCACATAACACACTCTGGAAAGAACTGCATTATTGTAACGCTCTGCCAAAGGGAAAATTATCAAGACCAAAATACAGAACATGAGAAAGCTATCATGGTCAATTCAAATACTTTTTCAGAAGCAGTGTTGGTCTCATCTCACAGAAGTCTAATTTACTACAAATGCATGCAAGTTAAATGCCAAAGCAACTATCTCATTAGTTACTTTATTACTTCACATTCAAAAGCACACTGCCCTTTTAGACATGGAAAACATCTGAGGGACAGTGCCATGCTATGTACTGAAAATCTATTTGTAGCAAAAGAATGGGAGGAATTAATCTTGAAAAGTAATAATAATTACAAAGAACTGTGAGGCCACTGTTGCTAGCAGAACAAATGTTTTCCCCCCAAAATCACCAGAAATAGAAAAAAAAAAATCTATAAATGGTCTAATTTCAACATGCAATTTGCTAATGAGTCACAAAACACTGCTCATAAATTATTAATGCTGAAAATACTAGATAAAGAAGTCCAGAAAGTTCTACACACCACAAAAATATCTGTAATTTTATCAGCATTTTATAGTCAGTATCAAGATACCATTGAAAAAATGCAAAATGAGAATAAGCAGCATAAATCAATAAAACAAAATTAAAGACAACATTAACTTTTATCTGGTAACCACTGTCTTCTATACTTAAGCAATTTTATATTAGAGTGTTAGATTATATTTTTATCTACTATTAAATGCCAAGACTGTACCGAAATTGTTGCAAAACCAAGCAGTTTGAAACATACATAATTAGAATGCATTTTCAGGCAAATAAATTTTCTTACAGATTGAACACACATTAGTGTTATAAATGAGATACGTAGTGTGAAAGCATAGCAGCTGTCAGTTTTGACAAAGGTTGCTATGTCTCTGCAGGTTAAAAAAAACAATAATGGAGTATAAATATTTTTGTATCTGGGCAAGTACAAAGAATCTATTGGAAGAAATAGAAGCAAATAGAAAGATCTACTCCTCCATGTCATGTTACACTCATATTAATATAAATGCTATATATAATATATGCTATATATATAGCATATGTGCTATACATAATATATAATCAGCTATAATTGCTGAAAGTGCTAAATAAACAAATTAATCATTATTAGCACCACCAAAACACAGCTAAAAGTATTCAAAATGTTCTGAAAATATTTTATATTACATATGTATAGCCCTGAAGTGAGCACTCCTACTATAGCAAAACCAGTTATTAGAAAGTTTCTGTCAAGACCCCACTATCCTCGGTTTATTATTTTTAGTACCCATAAGAATGAGCAGCTTTGAGACATGTACTGCAGCAAGAGAAATCCCTCTCTATAAATTATCAAAGTATTGAATCACATTATTTCCAAACCTGGAATATGTCTGGAATGATAATGCACGGTATTCTAGTAACTCCACACAGACACAACTGAATAGCAAGGAAGCTCTCTTTGAATATTTTGGAATCAAATGACCAGTATTTGCATGCATATCTGTCACATATCACAATACTTTTTAAAAATAACATTTTTAAAAGTCCTCATGCAAAGTATTTGTTAAGAAAAAAATGTATTTACACATAAAAGTGGCAATCAAAAATCACTCTTAATTACAGATATTTTTCACTTCTAGGTTTTTACTGCTCAAACACATTAGCAGAAAAATTCTAATGGAAGCAAGAGGAAAAAAAAGATAATAGTTGCCATCTCTCTGTGGATACCTGATCAACTGATACCTCATCTGTTGAGATAAATGGATTATAGTATTTTTTGTATTTATTGATGGAAATATTAAAGGATTCGTGGAAGCTGTGGCATGGTAACGCACCAGCTTCTTTCAAATAATGATGTGAAGAAGAAAGTACTAATAGACTGATTAATTAGAAAACAATACAACTTATGTGAACCAATTTTCTCCTGATTAATAAATTATAATCCATGCTATAAATCTCAGACAATATTTTGAAAAGTCTTTGTTTCTGTAGCATTAATCTAAAAAAACCCCTTTTTGATAGAAATACATTTGAATGCAAGAATAAAACAATGTCAAAACAATTCTATTAAATGTACATCACGTAAATAGGCAGTCTCCATTTGTAGTTATTGATTTTTTGTGGAAGTAGCATTTATTTGCCTCAGTTGTTCATCTCGATGTATGACAGTAGTATGCATAAGGCTATTATATACAGATTTAGAAACAAATTAAAATCTCAATGAATAAACCTAAAAACTTAATGAAAACTTTAAGTCTGAAACCCACCCAAAATAAGTACCATCTCTTTTATCATGCTGTAACACAGAACTGTTCATTGTCAGTAAGGTCACACATTGAAGAGAAGTATTTAGGAACTCAGTGATCAAAAAAACTTTACATGGCAAACACACCCAACTAAAATTCTTAAAGCAATAGAGGACAGAGAGATGTAAGTTAATTACTCTTTTATTTTTCTCTCTCAGTAGTTTTCTTAATTTCAGTTTTATCTCTTCCTAGGAACCAAAGATCTTTCACTGCGAATAGAAGCTCAGATTTGAAAAGTCTCATTTCTGGACACTTCACAAAACATGATATGCAATAGCACAATCAAATAAGCATCATCTTAAAACATGGAAGAGACTCTAAGACAGAAATGCTCCACAGAGTCTGGATGTTCCATAATTACATGTCATTAATCTGGATGTGATGAGGCCTGAAGACTGATATAATACATTTAACTCCCAGGAAAGATATCCCCTGACACCATTCTAACTCTGCAATGCTAAGGATACATATATACAAGAGTAGACAGAAAATCTAAGAGTAAAAATATTTTTAGCAGAAGATTTAGATGAAGAGACTATTTTACTACATTGAGATTTGAATAGAATCAGTATTACTTAATATTCTTTAAATGCATTAAGCCACAACTTAGATATAGAGCCTATCCCACACTTCTCAACTTTTTTAATGAGGTAGCTCCCTCTCAGTTATAGTTCTTTATCTTAAAGCATAAACCTACACACCCTAAATCACATCTGTATACTGGATGTATGCTGACATTTTACTCAAAAATACAGCAAGAAAATACAGGAAGGACTAAAGAAATAAATTTAATTCTGCAACTGCATAATAGAGGCTATATAAAGTAAGACAGTAAGTATGAAAAATCTTACTCTTATCCAAAGACAAGGACAGTACAGGCAATGGTAGAAAATAACAGAAGAAATTATAAATATTCTCAGTATCATAAACTCTCTAATTCAAATTAAATCATGTAGACTGCATAACATTTTCATAAGTCTCAAGAGATAAACTAAATGAAGAATCCAGAGAGAGATTTGTTTTGCTTCTCTGAATAAAGTTTACATGGTAATTTTATAAGGGGGGAAAAAGACCAAACAATAACACTTCAAAATATTAATGCACGATAGTTACACATTGGATTGGAATTATTACGAATCCTGAAAAGACAATTACATCTCTTTTTTTCTCTCTCTCTCTGTCCTAACATTACTTTGCCTTTTCTAACCCATTTCTAACCATATCTCCCTTTTCATAATTTTAAATCTCTCATACTTTCAATTCTGACTACAAACTTCTATTAAAATCAACACAGTTTTGAACTATTTTTGACTACTGTTTTCACACTTCGACTGAATTCATGGTAACAGATAAGCTACAATTAGTTTCATTACATAACATTAGATTTCTGAAAGTCTTTGTCTATGTAGGTGTAAAGGCACAGTCCCACCCGGGAGAGAGAATTACATGTTCCACAGATAAAAATAAGCATGATTCCCTTTAAATTGAAAGCAAATCTACCCATCTAAAGACTTATCATTTCTGAGCACACATTACCTTTATATTTTCTGATGTGTTTAACCTACCATTGCTATGATTCCTCTAAAATTTTGTTTTTCTTCCATATTACAGAAATACACCTTTCGCAAAAATAATTAAAGGACTCTCAGTTTTTACTCAATTCCAGTCCAAGAGTTATAAATCCATTTTACCTATCCTGTTTCCTTTTTTTCAATAATATTAATATATGTCAGGACTTTTTCACAGTTCTGTTCTTCAGCTGCTCCTTGGAAATCAAAAGTTTCTGTGGCAAAGGTTGGATATTTGATGACACTGCGACATTCTGAACAGCCAGTGATAATGAAACCATTATGGGATGGCTTCAGGTAATAGCCATCAAATCCACTGCCTCTCTGTAGGAAAAACAGGGGAAAGCCAATACTGTTTTCCTTGCTATCTTGCAAAGGCAGTTTCTGCATCGTCATCTCTGGATGGAGACACAGGTTGCTAGACCTTATTCAGCTTCCAATATTTTGGATTGTGAGACAGGGAACAGAAATGAGTATCTCTGCTATTGTATCCTAAACTATGTGGTTTTTCCATTTTAGTTACCTTGATG